GTTCTTCCGAGCTCATGTTAAGCAAAATTTCTGTCTTGCAATGAGAAAACTTTTAATAAATTTAATACTGATTTTCATTTTTGTACATAGTTACCTGAAGATGCACACTGAAATGTAATGGCACTCTTCAGAAAAACGTTATGGTGTTTTTAGAGACACAGATATCAATCAGTTTACAGATACAGAGACACCCAGCCTTCTGTGGCCACACTGTGAGAGGGCTGAATGCAAATCAGTTCCAACCTGGGAAAGAAATAGTCATCTTAATCTGGCACTGAATCTGAAGTGCCTAACCAATAGGTAGGATGGAAGAATCCCAAAAATGTAATTTGAAGATATGTAGAAGAAGTAGGCTATATGTATATATGCATCCACATACATGTGCAGATATGTATAGTGACACATCTATCTATGTATGTATATACATATGCATGGATACATATACATATGCAATGATTAAAGTATCATAGTTTGAAATGGAATGTATGAAATCTAAATTCTTACATAGCTCTTGTTGTGTGAAATTAAGCACCTCTTAAATATATTCAACTTAGCAGCCACGTTGGGATGAAAAAAGGTACTATTAGTCCTATTATATCACAGCGCAAGTGAAACAGATATTGAAAACTGCACTTAGTTGTCTTGCATGCAATTAAGGAAAAATTTTGCCACCTGAATCTAAAGCCTTCAAAGCTGAAGATTACTGTAGGAACATTTAAAGGATGTTGTGGAAGTCAAATAATAGCAAATTGGTTCAATGCAAAAAAAAAACCAAAACCAAACCCAAATTAAACAAAAGTTGATTGGTTCAAAATAGACTAAAATAAATTCATGAAGGGAAAAGAATCTACAGGGAAATATTCAATACAGTGCTCTTCTGTTCAAAATGCCCTAAATGCTGACTGTCAAAAGCTAGAAGGGTGCTCTAGTAAAAGAATATACTCGCCAAGTTTCTTACATTCTTACCTTAAGTATTTGGATTGTTTGCTGCTGGAGACCAAATACTAGGTTAAATGGAAGCTTCATCTGATTTGGTGTAATCATTTATATGTTAGATCTGCACATGCCTGTCTTTTCACCATTAAAAACCATAGTGTGACACAGATGAGCCTCTATATCCTCAGAGTTTCATTCTCATGTTCTTCCCTTTTTACTCCTCTGAATTTCTTTGTTGTTGTCTGTTCTGCTCAATTTCATCCATCCAATATTTCTTGCTTTCTAAGCACATCCTTTCAAGATGCATAAAAGTCTACTGTAGCGTGTACACTAGAGGAATCAGAGTTGTTGGGATTAATTTATTTTCCTGTTTCTGTGTTGATTTCACTTCAAGGACATGATACCAGGTGGAGGCAGATAGCCTAGCATGTAAGAGTGCCTACAGATACTACTTCAGAGTGGAGGAATATACAGCAATATTACATCAGAGACATCTTTCAGTAACATTTTTCGTTGTTGATTTGCAAAATGAGAAATGAGGTACTAAATGAGGCTAACTTCTGCAGGAACAGATTCAGAAAATAGTATTTTCAGCCACTTTGCAAATTACAGTGACCCGGTTGATACTGGGCACAGCTATTGTTAACATTGCTGTGTAGATTTATTTAAAATATTATATGAATGTGTCCTGGGTTCAGCAGTAGCAGTTATTTTTCTCCTTCTTGGCAGCTGGTGCAGTGCTGTGTTTTGACTTTCGGGCTGGGAACAGAGCTGATAACGATGTTTTGGTTTGGCCAAGGACTTTGTGAGCCTCATGCTCTGCCAAGGAGGAGGGGAAGCCGGGAGGAAGCAGAGACAGGACACCTGACCCAAACTGACCAAAGAGGTATTCCATAACACAGCACGTCATGCCCAGGACGTAACTGGGAGTTACCCAAAAGGGCTAGGAGACTGCGGGGTTGAAGAAGGTATCGGTTGGTGCTTGGTCGGGCTGGGGGGGCAAGTTATCGGTCGCCTGGTGATGAGGTGTTGTGGGGGGCGAGTTATCGGTCTCCTGGTGATGAGGTGTTGTATCCTCTTCCCTTGTTATTTCCTTTATCATTACTATTATTGGTGGTAGCAGTAGTGATTTTTGTTATACCTTAGTCACTAAACTGTTCTTATCTCAACCCATGGGAGTTGTATTCTTTCTGATTCTCCTCTCCGTCCCTCCAGGAGTATGGGGAGAGTAAGAAGGGGGAGGAGTGAGTGAAAAGCTGTCTGGCTGGGCTTAAACTATGACAGAATGTTTATTTAAAATATTATTTTTCACTATGTATATGTATAGCATATACAGCTAAAGATTGTAAAGTTTGAGCAAGGTGATAAAGTTTCTTAGGTATTTTCCTCTCATATCTCTATGCAGACTTGAAATCTCTTTAAAATTCATATAAATTGTAGTCAGCTAATTTTGAAGATATTTCACTCATTTTTTAGATTGCTTTCATTCTGTAAAATAAAATACAGCTGCTACTTTGGTTTCCAACAGTAACTTTGCTCAGTAAAAGGAAAATTAATTTGCTTTGTTCATTAGTGGCTAAAGACCCCACACATATTCAAAAAGACTGCTCACCATAGTTCCATACCTCCTAATTAAAACACAGGATAATTTGTTTGTACCAGTTGAATTAAACCTTGGAATTGTTGTTTGGAAAACTTTCAAAACCAGATAGCTTTGTGCTTTTAAAATGATGGTTTTATTAGTGGCAGGAGCATATATTTCTAGGTTTTATTCAGATGTGAAGCCTGCAATAAAACTGAGGACACTCAATAATTCTATTAAATAAATGTGCATGTCCTGCGAGCATCAGCGCAATTCTATATATGTCACTGACATACATGTCACCCTTTTCAGCATCCCTATTACCATGGGCCTTGAGACCCTTGCAGTCTGAATAGTGGAGTAGGAGCTAAAGGTCTGGCAGCAGGTTGTTCCTGTCCTATGGGGTCAGGGTGCTAGCTGTTCTCTGCAGTGCGTGGGAAGAAAATCACATTTATCCTTTCAGGGAAGAAAGCTGAACCTACTGTGCAGATTATGTCTGCAGTGTGGCAGGTGCTACACAGCTTCATTAATATGGTAATTGGATGGAGGGTTGGTTAGATGCATCCCACCAAGCAGAACTGCATTTAGTGATTTAGTCTTAAAGTTTGTGTATGTATTTTCCAAATCTGAAACAAAGTAGATTGCTTCCCATGGAATAACCCAGGTAATGAACTGTTGCCACAGTGATAAGGCTGGAATCGATCTTTAGGTGCTGCTCACTGAAATCCAAACCAGAAATGTTGTCATCAAAGCAAGGTCAATGGGTTAAAAAGCATATATTAAGCAGTAAAAATCAGCTAATATACTTATTAGTGTTTTATCTGTATGAAAACAAGTAGTAAGAGTCCCAGTTTATTGGTTGATCCCCACTATTTCGACTTGCATCAGTCCCAGACTGCCCAGGCTCTTTCCAGTCAGTTCTCTTCATCTGCCATAATCATAGCTCCTCATCTATTTCATCCCAGATACTCCCATTACTGTCACCTGTTTCCTGAATTTGTTTTCCTATCCACTGTCATCCTGTCCCTTCCAGTTTCTTAAACCCTCTACCATTTCTCCTAATTTCAGCCTGCAATTCTCATTCCAGCTGGGCCTCAGGCTTTCCTTCTTGCTCTTTGTTCAAGTCAGTGCAAGCTCTTCTAGTTCTGACTACTTCATCTTCTCCACAGATACTTTTAACCACCACACCTCACTGATACATGAATGCATCTCTCTTGATGTCTAGTCTGCACCAGCTCTTCTAGTCCTGGCTTCTTCTCTCTTATCTTCCCTCTGTTACTTTTATCTACCGTAACTCACTGATTTACAAGTTTTTCATTTCTTGACCTGCTGTCCCCATTCTCTGTCGAAGTTCTTGTTTCTAGTTTCCTTTTCTACTCTTTTACTTTCAAATTTCCACCTCAGTCCTGGTTTCCTCCCCTTTCCTTCTTGTCCCAGCATAATCCAGGGTGCAGGCGTGACTCATGTCTCATCTGCATTTGAAAAAGACTGCCTGCATCCAGAAATGATGGAAGTATTACTAGAGGCAAAGGAGAGTGAGTCTCTGTTCTTTTTTGATGTGTATACCTGATACAATCCTTCACAGCCTAGAGGCACTCAATTGCAGCCAGAGCATACTTGATGCAGTTTAAAACAGAGATATGACAAGTCCCTGCTTAGCTAAAATACTAATAGACTGTGCTCTTATCATAAAAGATGGTGTGTAGTATTGTGTACAATACATTCTTCTTCCTGTTTTAAGTTGGATATAGCATGAGCATTTTTTATTGAACATTGTGATATAAAATATTTTTACATAATTTTGCTACAGGCCCTGGTATTAAAAATATCTGCAAAGAGCTTTTTCTTGAACATTCTTTTCAGTAATTTCGTAATGTATGTCTTCATTTCCTTTTGGATAGTACTTATTCCTGTCAAGAAACTAGAGCTGGGTTGTTGTTTTTTTTTCCCTTTGTTGACAAGATATTCAGTCATTTACGTTGGTAGCAGAATTGATGAACATTTTTTTGTTGTTTTTTTTTTCTTTGTTTTTCCTGCAATGAACCTTGGAAATTTTGGTCCTAAAAGATTTCAGTTTCTGTGTTCCCTAAATCACATTTATACCTAAAAAAAATAAATAAATTATTTGCTGTCATATTTACTGCTGTATAGTGCATCTCTGTATGCAAAAGTATTGTTACTGAGGTTGTGACTAATTCTGTGTTCATCTTTATATAAAGGATTCATCTGTGTAAAGGGGTGAAAGGAAAAATTATCTATATACTAAAAGATGTATTTTAATTTTTAAGAAATATAACAGAGAAAATAATGTTAAAAAAAACTCTTCAGAAAAAAAAAAAAAAGCCATATAAAAATCTCCAGGCTATTTTTTTTTCTTCTAATATACAGTCCAGAGCAATAAATAATAGGACTAAATTTGATTAACAGTAAAATTTAAAAAAAGTCTCAACTATTATGTATTCCACCTCTTCTTATGCACCAGGAAGAAGATGAGACTCCTTTTATTTCTACTAATTTGCCAGTGTGCCATAAACAGTGTTGAAGCATACAGTGCTTCAAGTCCCAGTCTCATTTTACTGATGGCTGATGATCTTGGTATTGGAGACCTAGGATGTTATGGGAACAGAACATTAAGGTATGATGATACAGGTGAGGGAGTCAGAGCTTTATTTTAGTTTTTCTATGGATTTGTAAAGTTAAAACCCCAAAACATTCAGAGATTTCATTAGTTCTTTATAGGTAAGCAAAGTTAATATCCTTTCTGGAGAACAGCATATTTAATCTTTGTTTTCTTTTCTTAACAAGAAGACTTATCTGTTTTATTTATCCTGCTGAAAAGTTGCATTATAAACAGAGAATTGAGCAACCAACAAAATAAGGGTAGATCTAGGGAAGCAAAGTATAATCAACAATTGTAGTTTAAAATACACATGACACAAGTACTATAAGCGTATTTTGAAGCATTCGTGAGTTAAGCAAAGCTTGTCACTAGCCAATCATAAATAAAGTGCTGATCTTTCTTTCCTTCATCTTCATGCTGTACTCAATAAATTCATTAAAACAGGTGTTAATGTACCTAACACCTAATGTAAAAATATTTGACACAATAGTATTTAGAATTGCAACCCTACCATGGTTTTGATAATTTGCATACAATAAATCTTAACTTGATTTTCCTGATAGTATTTTATTTCAGATGCCTTGATCTTGCCATGCCCATTTCCAAATAATTATCTTTGTGTATTCTTTTGTTGTCTTTCCTGCTTATGTTTTTCTAGAACCCCTAATATTGACAGGCTCGCAGAGGAAGGAGTGACACTTACTCATCACATAGCAGCATCCCCACTTTGTACTCCGAGTAGGGCTGCTTTCCTGACTGGGCGATATCCTATCAGATCAGGTAAAATTTCATTGCTTTATATGTAAATGTAATATTTTATTTGTAGTAAATGTATGCATTTTCTTCACTGGCTTTTCTTCCTATCTTTATCATTACTTGATTAGGTACTTATTTCAGTGACCAATAAAGCTCAGTGAAGCTGGTCAGCATTTCAAATCTTCCATATATATATGGGAAATTCTCACATTTCAGATAAGTTAACACAAAAATAAAGCCCCTTTTTACTGGGAAAAAGATTTTTAAAATAGTGAGGAAAAAATCTGATTGTCTTTTTTTAATGTAAGGAGCAGACAAATTCCATTGATTTCCTCCACCTTCCAAATGACCTCCCTGTCTGCCTCCCCAGTCATGTTCAGGCTGCTCCCAGGATATCTGAGGGCAACCTAACTGTTAAGCATCACAGAGATTCATCTAGAAAGACACAATGGAAAACCTGGTGTAAATCCTTCTGCTCAGACATTTCTGTTTCTAGAAAATTTTTTGATTTAGACAAGTTGTTATTTTTTTTCAGGGTGGCAGGGGGTGGAGGAGGTGAGGGTGTTGGAGTGTATGTTGGATATTCCTTAAGATGTTCTAGCAGCCCGTAATACTGGGAAGACGAAAGAAAAAAAAAACTCTCCCTTCTAAGTATTTTTGTTCCATATCTATGCATACACAGTGTGAAGTACCCCATGAATGTATGCTTTTAAATTACCTGATCCAAAGCCCAGTTGAGGAAGTGAAGATCCAGTCTATTTTAGTGTGCTGGGACTGAGCCCCTCAGTGCTTAGCCATGCAACTTTAACATTCCCTTAACATCATTTTTAGCAAGGATCATTATACATTAATCAGATCACTTGTTCATTAGTGATAAAACATCCTGTCCTTCCTTCTGGGAGTGAAAGCAAAGCAAGACTCTGGAGCCTACTTGATACATTTGTGCTCATTCAAATCAAGTAACAAGCTTCTGCAAAAGTGCTAGCTAATATAACTTGCAAAATTTTCTGTTACATTCAGCTGCAAAGGAAAATTTACCTGTTACAGCTAAATTGCTATTAATATTTACTGTAGGTAAAGCCACAGGTCACTTTCCATTACGACCCGTGTTCTTATTTCCAAAAAAAATAGCATTTGAACTGATTTGTTTCTTAACTCTCTGGTAAACCAGATTATTTCCATGTTTGTACAAAAATTTTCTTTGTCTTAATTAAATGACTAAATTGCTAAATGTGGACTATTTCCAAACGTCAATGAATACTAATAAAGGGTTATTTTATCTAGAAGATTCTAGAATCATGATGTGGAAAAAAATGTTAGAAATCTAAAAATCCTGCTAATAGAGCTGAAGAAAAATATTCCAAAATGCAGTATTTGATGAGAGACACCCCCAGACAAAGGCAGCAATAAAAAAAAATATATAAAAAAAAAATCATAGTTCTCTCATTCTGGTACCTTCAGGGAATTACACTGATTTCAGTTACCAGACATTGAAGTGCATAAAAAATAAATATGAATAAATATGTAATAAGTAAAATATCGATATGTATAGGTGACTAAAACTACCTAAAATGTTGATCAATAAAGCTAGCTGGGGTGAAAAACTGAAGTCAGTATTTGGCGGATAAGTTGAGCTCTCTTTAATAAACCAGTCAAACAAGTCTTTTTCTTATCTAACCACAAGGGATACCAGAGGGAAGAGTCTGGTTGTCTACATCAGTCATGTAACTTTGGCACTGAAATCATACAGTTGCATAATTCAGACTTCCTGGAGATGCATCTGCACAGATTTGCATAGATATTCTGTGTTCTTTCTGTCTATACTTGGACCCAGCTCTCATCTGGAATCCTAGTAATCTAATTTTCATGAACCTGAGCTCTCAAGTTCCTCATCCTAAGAGTAGTTTATAAGCTCAAGTTTATGTTCCTCAGACTCTCAGCATATAATGTAGAAATCACTGTGCCTTATTTAGATGTTGTCTTGTTAGCTGATACCTTATGCTTCTTTAATGCACTCTGTGTGCTTTGAATCATGGGCCTTCATACTGTTGCAGCACTGGTCCTATCCTACCAAAGCCGAGTGCCTTAGCCACTCTATTTCCAGAATCAGACTCTCTCTTGCTCTTTTTTCACCTCATGTTACTTACATGCTCAACTGTAAGAGTGCCCTATTTCAACTGCTTTCTTTCAAATAACCTTAAAGTCTTGTAGAAAACCACGCATGAGGATAGTCGAAGTTCTGAGAGTAGAACGTGGGAGTGATCTTGCTTCATTCTCAGCTCCATTCCTTCCTCAGGTACAAGAAAACTGAATTATGCAAGCTCAACTTTTTTCAGATATATTATACCTTAGAACATGTACAGAAGGGGCTGTAGCTTTTTATGTGATGGCTGGCTCCACGACTATAAGCAGAGAATTTTTCTCTCCGCTTCTTAATTTCCGATGTCGATGCAGGAAAGACCTTGCTCAGCTAAATGGATGATTGTATCTGCCACTTGCAACATTTAGTGTCTGGTGGCAGTATGTAATCTAAGTGATACCAGCTAAAGCAAAATAGTGCATGCAGAAAGAATGAATGGGAATTGTTTCACTATATCAACCAAGTCTCATTCATTTTCATTGTACTTAGGAATGGCTGCCTTCTCACGAGTTGGTGTCTTCTTATTTTCTGCCTCTTCTGGGGGACTTCCTTCTGAAGAAATAACTTTTTCCAGACTCCTGAAGGAGAGAGGTTATGCAACTGCTTTAATAGGTAAAATTGCACACATATACAGAATTATTTTTCATTCATTCCAATCAAAAGAACATTAGCTTTCCATATAGGCCATTAAGTATCTGCATTAAGCTTTTTTCCCCCACAGCATAATGAATTTATTTTTCTGGCACAGAGCTGATCACATTCCCATGCATATGTGAAGCACTAATCAGGTAAGTATGTCTAATTCACTTCTGTAGTTACAGTCTCATCATGCAAGGTACTGAAGAAACATGATGAACAAATTGAAAATTAGTCAAGCTCTTGGAAAGTTTTCAGTGCAAATAGGAGTTTGATTACAACAGAGAGACAATAAGGGATCAGTTGCAGGGTACAAGTCAGCGCAGTGGTGGGATTCATTTCACCAGTTTTCAAATATCCATAAAGTAGATGATGTAGTATGTACACTAACCGTCTGGATTCTCTTCTTAGTGCCATTTCTAGGAAATTTAGTTCATCCTGTGGTAGATGTCTAATATAAAAATGTGTTTCTCTCTCATTATAAAAATAGTTCAGAGAACTAACTGCAGCATAAATATCCAGTGATGAGTAAAAGGAATACCATTAGATTAATAATAAATTGAATTGGAATTAGTATCATAAAGGTATAACATTTAAATAATGTTGGGAGGCTTTTTTGTAATTTGGCCATGGACTTATTCCACACTGCTTACATTTTAGAATATTTTTGTGAAATACAACTTCTATTACATAATGTATTTCTGTCAAGTAATTACCAGGAAATAGTTGTTTAGAGAACATCATACCGGAATGTTACTACATTAATTTAGATGATTGATGTACCTAATTTTACCCAATTTGATTTTCAATTGTAATAGGAGCTTGCAATTTTGGGAGTAGTTTTTGTTTAAAAAAATCAGTGTATTTAGTATGGCTAGCAATTCATATCACTGTTTAAAAATATCTGTATGATGTAGCTAGCCAGTACTGATGTTTGTAACTAAAAATCCTACTTAGCGATTCCACAGTCTGAGAAAGTATAAACTACCTTGATGTTTTGACAGAGTCAAAATATAAACCCAGAAAATCTTAGCAGAAGTATATTTAGTGCAGGTGTATTTGAATCATAGTGTAAAAAAGCCATTCATAATTTGTCATGTTCATCATGGAGTTAATTCCTATTGCTCCATATTCAATTAAAAACTGCAAAGAAATCATTTTTCTGTTTGCAAAAAGCACTGTAATACAACTCATTTTCTGGGGCTGACCTAGTTAATGTTCTTTTTTTAACTACTTTCACTGCAACATGACAGCTTGCCGCTTAGATCTCCAGAAGTTATCTCCATGATGCTTAATGAACAGTTCTTCCAAGTGGCCTGAATGATAGCTGTGAAACCATAAGATGTAATATTAACATATCCTTAGAGTATAATGAAGGCTTCTAAAAATCAAGAAGTGCATTAAAATTAAGGATAAAGCATGTGTAAATGACAAAAAGAAAAATTATGTAGATTTGAAGACTAGATAGGCAGACTCTGATTCCCAGCCAGGCCATTTTCTCTCTCTGCTGGTATTCTTATCACATCATATTTGGTCTAGGTCAGGGAGTCTTTGCTTGTTTCAGTCTAACTCAGCAATTCCGAAACAATTAATTGTCAAATCCTTCACCACTGAAGGACTGGCATAAGGGTAATTTGAAGCCTTTCAGTTCCTCAAGTCTGTATTGTCAGTTCCTTTTTTTTTTTTCCCTAAATTTCTCTCCCCTTTACTCTCCAAGGGCACTTTTTTCTTCCCTAAATGCATTTTCATTTCTTCTTTTTAATTTTCTCCATGTCTCCGCATATATGCTTCTTGCTTGGTACATCCTGAGATATATTTTAGCTATGAATCTATTTTATATATGCACTTTTTTACCTCATTGTTTTTCCCCTGTGACACAAAGAAGATGACATCCAATAGATCTGGCAGGAAGAGACACAGTCAGAAGATCTGTAACAAAATCAAGTTTTCTCAAAACAGGTAGATGCATTGCATATGTAATTTTCACCAGTTAAGGATCTCAGGGATTAGCAAGAACTGTTGATGTTTTATAGGAAATAACTATTTATAATGCAAAAATTCTACTGAAAGTAGATGGATATTTTTTTAACTACTACTATACTCAATTACAGTTAGCTTTTCCTCACTACTGTTATCCAGTATATTATGTATATATATATCCAGTGTGTTGTCCAGCATCCAGAGAACTTTAAAATCCACCTATGTATCTTGTCTCCAAAGTTTAAAATAATAATGCATAAACTGAGACTTGTATCTTTCCTCCAGAATGAGTTGTTGTAATATTTGGACACATCACAGTAGCGATGTGTCCAATACAAAATTGTGAGAGTCTATGGAGCACAATTAATGGAACAGCTTAAAAAGTGACTATATTAACAATATATGCTTAATACTTATTATTGCTGTGTACTTCATGTATATATATTACTTTGAGCACATAAAATATTTCTTTTTGGATCTTGCTCTGCATCTTCCATCTTACGATTTATCTGAAGAGCAGAACTATATCATTATATACAACTCAGTCTTCATAATGCTCCCCTTTCAACTGTCTGAAGGAAAAGTAAAGGGGAAACATTGATTTTTTTGCAGCTTCTCCAGCAGTCTGGGTTCTGAAAAACTGAGTTCCAAATGAAGTTTCTTGGCTGAATAGGACTTGACGTCCTTTCCATGTGCCTTTCATTGCATCGCTCTTGCTCTGTAGAAGCCTTATTTGGGGCCAAAGGAGAAAAAAAAAGATTTCAAATTATTCAGGTACAAATAATTTACAATTAACAGCATAAATCTCACTCAAAAGCTTGCTGGAATCTGCTGAAATGTGTATGATGCTTGTCTGAAGTGTCCATGCTATGAAGCTTCACTTGACAAGGAGGTGAGAGAGTTTTGCACTGCCCTCAGATTCACAAAGGCCCCAGAGTGTAAAGCACATTACAATAATCTGTTGAAACACTAGCTCAAGACAGCAGTTGTTGTCATAAGGAATGAAACAAAACATGTATTGTGGGCCCAGTCATCACTTGCTTTTTCAGAGTAGCACAGCATTTATCAAAACCCTCTACCTCGCCAGCCAGTTGAGAATGGCAATTGCGTTTTTCCATCACAGCTGCGGACATAATTTTAGCCAGTGCTTCTGTGCTTTTCCCAGCTAACCTGCTGTCTGCTTTGTTTGGCTTAAGTTGCTTCTCAACAAATCTTTTTTTGAGACCCAAGTTCATCTTGACATTGAACAGTTTGTTGTGCTTGCTAAAACGCTTTTGAAATAACAGCTCCTATATTTTCCCCTGTCCTAATTTGTTGTTGCCAGATTCTTCTGTCCTAGCTTGCAGTGTCTACTTTTATTGAGATCTAGTTTAAACAAACATCTTTGTATCATAATAAATGACTTTGAAAGTATGCTTAAGTTGATATGGTTTCTTTTTCTTATTTTTTACTGAATTATAAGTGATTTGAGATTAAGAAATAACAGAGAAAAAAAACCCCATACTTTAAGATCATTTGTGTTTGTGGTTTGTGGTTATAAATCTCTAACTTTATTTCCGTTACCTAACTTGGTAAGAATTGTTACATCCTAGCAAAATCTGTATCCTTGCTTGCCAGGAATGAAATTCAGAATTGCAGCCTTGGCTAGCCTGTTATGGCACCATTCTAACATCTGAAAATTCAGTACAGTGGCGTGCATTTCTGGTTTTGTAATTAGTCACAGAAACGCTCACTGGACCACATCAAAAGTAGTGATGATAGCCATTCTGCCCACAGAAAGCAGATTTCCTCCTCAGGTGAGGCGGTATCTGACAGTTAAGAGGGAAAATTTCTGATGGGATGAGAAAGCTATGAACACCTGCATTTCACTGGCACATAGGAGGACCTGAAAATGCTTTTATAGCTGCATCTGTAACCTACTGAAGGCATTTCTAACCTAAGACCATCAAGATATACACAAGGAGAAGTGGAGTCAATTAAACACTCAGGTTCAAGATTTCTGTTGTGTTTAAATTCACCTTTGCTGTAAAAGGGAAATAATTACATTGATCCCATTTGCAAGGCACTATCTCAAAAAATCAGAACTGATCCCCGTCCTCACTCTCTTTGGTATGCAGTATCTGCATTTGTCTTTGCCAAAGGAAGAAGTGCAGGTCAATGTGCTGCTCTCTAGATCCCCAAGATGCTCAGGACTGCCTGTGTCAGGATTTTTTCTTACAGATGTGTAAAAGCTGCGATGCTGCAGGAAAGGGAAAAATTCTATTTGTCCTTTTTGCTTGTTATGTACTTTCTACCACCTGTATCCTGAAGTCTCTAGAACAAAATATTTCAAATGTCTTTGGGCTAGCTTATGGGAATGAGGACTTACTGGGTTTGTGGGGAGTTTTGTTTATTTATTTAAAGATCATGATCCCTAAAATAATGCTGGTCATGTGTAGGTATTTGATTCAGAAAAAAATAAATAAAATTTGGCCCAGCAGTGCATATTGTCATCTGTTTTGTCAAGGCTGATATGTTTGTCAAATATTCAACATACTTCCTTGCTGAGACCAAAAAGCATAAAGCTGTAGCCATCATTTATGTCAATAGGCTTAACTAAATTTGATTTTCTTTTTTAATTGTACATTTGGATTTAATGCTATGAAACAGTTAGGTCTGTGGGGCTAACTGATGCATAAGGATGTGATGAAGGGACGTACCCGAGTCATAGATTGAATTACCTAGATACTTGCTGTCATTAGCATGAAATAGATTATGCTACTGTAATGGAAATCAGACTCTCCATTTTCTTGTGTCAGTCAGTGTCCAACATTACTGCAGAAATACAATGGTTTCCTAGTGAGACAAAATGCTGTGAAAGATAGTATTTGGCAGTAATTTGCTTTTTACTATTGTTTCTTCTTTTATTTACATATATATACACATCCATATAAAATATATATATAAAATATATATTTTATATATAAATATGTATATAATATATATTTTATATGTAAAATAATCATCCTCACTATATATATATGTATATTATCCATTTCAGACACCTTGCAATCATTTAAATAATAAATTTCATTTTCATTACTCTTGTTTTATCTCCTGTTTGTCTGTCTGTTACTGTTTTGGGTTTTTTTTGTTGTTTGTTTTTTTTTTAACCTAGTTAAAGGTGAATGGTTTGCCAGCAAAGTTTTGGAAAATATGTTTAATTACTACATATTGTCTTTTCTTAAAAAAGCAGTGGCTGCCACAGTTTTCTTAAGACTGCTTAACTATATATGTACAAGGGCTTAATTTTCAAAGTTAATTATCTGTTAGGGCTATGTTGCTCTTTAGTGACCTGCTAGCCCACTCAGAATTTCATGATTTCCACCAGAACCTGTGCCAAACTGTTTCTCACTAAAATGGAGAGGTAGGCAGGGAACAAAGTCTTTGATGAAGGCATGAAGAGAGATTAGATAGAAGACAGAAAATAGACATCCTCACAGTAAATGCTTGCGGGCAGGGAAAATATCACATAATGACAGTTTCATGTTTGGAATAGGGAACATTATATGTTTGATGATTTAACTACAAAAATGCACCCTGTCCTTCTCTTTTTGTAGGAAAGTGGCATCTTGGGATGAACTGTGAAAGAAGCAATGACTTCTGCCACCACCCCCTCAGTCATGGATTTGATTACTTTTATGGGCTTACTGTGACCAACTTGAGAGATTGCAAACCTGGCCAAGGCAGTGTATTTTTAAAAGGGGTTCAGAAATCCCTTGTCATCCCACTCCAAATCACTGGAATCACCCTGGTCTCTTTGGCAGTAGTGCATTACATTGGTCTCCTCAGTGTACCTTTCCGAGCACTGGGTTACTGCTTTTTAATAGCCACCATTTCACTTGTGGTTTTGATTTTCTTCTTTTATTGTTTTCGCCACTTGAATTGCTTTTTAATGAGGGACCATCAGATTATCCAGCAACCCCTCTCCTATGAGAACCTTACGCAGAGACTCACAAAGGAAGCTGTGCAGTTTATAGAAAGGTAGGTTTCTAATTGTGTTATAATTTAATGGTGGAATTTCACAATGGCGATGCTTCTGAAGATGTAGAAAAGAAAAAAGTGATCTGGTGGGCATAAGGAGTATATAATTACATATTATCATCACTTTTTTCCTTCCAAAGATGGCTGCAGTTAGTCTTTTTAGTGAAAGTGACTGATTATTTTTTTTCTATTGGGTATATATCTATAAAAATTAAAAACTTTATGTTTTCATGCTTCATAATTTTTTGTCAAAAAAACATTTAACTTTTTAAGGACTTTCATTTGTGAGAATTTCATGTAACTTGAGATATGAAAAATCTTTCTTGATGTGACTTAATTATGTGAAAGCACAATGCAGAGTCATAATCCATTACTTTTCTGGAATGGGAAACTGTTCTTCATCATTGATTTGATGCATCCATTAAATGTCATTCACAAGGCCAAGTTTTTAAGATACTGTCTTTTAGATGCCTCACTTTTATGGCAGATTCATTTTAAGAAGATTTGATTTACAGAAGTTAGGAAATAAATGGGGTTTTGACAGCAATGATTTTTCTAATAGCCATCACATTGGGTTACCTAAACATTGGATGTACAATCATCCTAAGTCATTCTTCATTTTTGAAATATTACGTACTTTGGTGTAATTATTACCACAGGTCTCTTAACGAGATCAAATCATAAAAGTATACATTTATAGATTGTGAAATACAAATTGATATATTTGGAGAAAAAATATTTCATCCATTTAAATTCTTGAAAAATATTCCAGAGTGTTGGACACTTTTTAAACAGGTTGCACCATTTCTAGTTAATCAAAATTAAAAATATGTTCTAAAATATAGGAGGTCTTTTAATTGCAATTCTGAAAAGTATGTACCAGCTTGTTATTGTGAATGCATTTGCATGGTGTTATTGCTGAATGAAAACTTACACCAAAGAATTGGAGCCTTTGTTTTCTAGACTTAGTGTGGTGTTCATCAAGATTATTAGCAAGAAAAAAAGTTTGTCTAAAATCTTGATCTCATACTGCAATTGTATATCATTTCTATCTATATAAATCTTTGATGTGGCCATCTGTAGTCATCATACCAAATAAAATGTTTCTTATATTCAATTTCTTTAAGTAAGCCTTTCCAACAGCAACATTCTCATGAGTATTTATAAATAACCTAAAACATCTTTGTTTCCTCTTGGCAATGGTGATAAAGATGCCTTCTCATCTACATTCTAACTAATTTAACAGTGAAGTACTGTGTTTACTATAAACACACACCCCTTCGAAAATTGTTGAAAATTTGCTCAGTGACCAAGCATTTGGTGGTTTCAAAAGACTCTTGAGTACATTAACTACATGCTGAATGATTCTTTCATGATTTACAAGTGTGCAGTATGCCTGTAGTGATTCATAATGTTTTTGATATGCCTGAGTGTTGCATTGATTTCAATGCAATGGCAATAAAATGGTAGCTCCAAAACAGGTGAGTTGAAGATTTGAAATCAATGCTAGAACACTAGTAACTCATTTAAATTTATTACTATTCATAATGCGGACAATGTTATTGCATAGGTTAGTGTTTAGAGCTGGCAAAACAATTTACCATCTAAGTCAGCATAGCTTTGTTGACGCAGCTGAAGGTAAGTGACTTTACATCAGGGGGGACTTGGCTTCAGTTCTCAGTGTAGTTTCCACACAAAAGAGATGTTAAATTGAAGTCATGGTTAATATCACATATTCATAATTTACAATAAACTTTGTTACAGGAGTGCTGCAATTATAATGAGAATTATAACCCAAACAATTCAATGTTAAATTAAAGACTATCCAAGCACATTAAGGTGTTGAGAAGCAATTAGGGCACTTGAGCAATCTTAATTGTGCCCTGTTCACATTGTATATGACCATAGAACTTTTTCCTGGGTATAAGAGTAATCAAATTAATATGGAGAAGAGAAGGCTCATGGGGGACCTTATCACCCTCTGCAACTATCAGAAAGGAGGTTGTAGCAAATGCATGTTGGTCTCTTCTCCCCAGTAAGAAGTGATAGCACAAGAGGAAATGGCCTTAAGTTGCACCAGGAAAGGTTTAAATCGGATATTAAGAAAAAATTCGCCACAAGGGTTGTGAAGAATTCTAACAGGCTGCCCAGGGAAATGGGCAGCCTCTCACACTGCTGGAAGTATGAGTCACAACTCCTGGAGGTAATTAAAAGAGATGTCAGTGTGGTACTTAGGGACATGGTTTAGTGATTGAGTTGACAGTGTTAAGTTTATGGTGGAACTTGATCTAGGTGGTCTTTTCCAACCTAAATGATTCTATGATTCTGTATAATCATTAGATTTTGTATTTTTAAAGTCTTCTGTAATTTCTTCATAGCATATAGCTACGTGCAGTTATATTTAATTTGGTCTGGGGTTTTTTTGAGAAGTGGTATCGTATTTGTTTTCCCTTAGTCTTGTGTATGTGTATTATCATTTGTTCCTAGGTAAACTGAAAGAGAGTAAGTACAACATTCAATGCTCAGAAATGGCACAGGAGAAGTATATATACAATTAAAAGTGTCAGATCATAAGTGTGAAAAAACAGATACTAATTTACTTGCTCACCCTAATTGTAAGTGGGCATGTCAGCTCAGTATATGTTAATTCTCACTACTTTTTTCCCACGAGCAAGTGTATGTACATCTTGTAAACCTATTAGAACACTCTCTAGACATTACAGCATATTTGAAAGTCAAATGGATGCTAATTATTCAATATGGTTGTCACTCAGACATCTTCAGCATATCTTTTAATGACAGGCTGCACAGACAGTCCAAATTTGGACAATTCCAGAGGTCCATTTCTAACATATCAGAAATTAGCAACACAAAAGTACCACTCTATGATTCAGAATACTTCTCTGACAAATAATATAGGAGATCACAGATAATAATATTAAAAAAAAAAATCCTAATGAAATCTTACTTCTGGAAAGTAAACTTATATATGTTCAAAATCTATGTTGAAGATGAAGTTGAATGATTTTAGTTCCTTTTTTTCAGTTATAGATTGGATAGTTGTGATATTCAAAATTCTGTAATGACAATCAATAATTTTTTCATTTTCCTTTTATCTATTCTATTTCAGTCATTGAAGCACTGTTAGAATATGCATTCAATTTTTTTTTTTTTTTTTTTTGTCTACCAGATTATGGTTTAGTACATAAAATACAGCAGTTAGCATGTTGTACTGGAGTTAGAGTTCTGAAGAGTTTTAGGCTGAGAAAGTTGGGGCTGTTCAGCCTGGAGAAGAGAAGGCTGTGTGGAGACCTCATAGCAGCCTTCCAGTATCTGAAGGGGGTCTATAGGGATGCTGGGGAGGGACTCATCATTAGGGACTGTAGTGATAGGACAAGGGGTAATGAGTTAAAACTTAAACAGGGGAAGTTTAGGTTAGATATAAGAAGAAAATTCTTTCCTGTTAGGGTGGTGAGGCACTGGAATAGGTTGCCCAGGGCGGTTGTGAATGCTCCATCCCTGGCAGTGTTCAAGGCCAGGTTGGACGAGGCCTTGGGTGATACGGTGTAGTGCGAGGTGTCCCTGCCCATGGCAGGGGGGTTGGAACTTGATGATCTTAAGGTCCTTTCCAACACTAACTATTCTATGGTTCTATAAAATCAAGTGTTTTTATGAATCCTACAAGAATATTCCTCATAGTTTACAGCAAATACAAATTGTAGAGAAGTGTTTTTCTTTATATACACATGATGCATATGTGCATATATATTAGAAAAGGGTAGTAGTTTATAAGCCACAACAATTCTGCTGGATCTTCATCCCTTTTTCTTGGATTTCTGCTTGTTCTTTTTGAGCAAAAAACTAAGAGGAAGAAACTGTGAATTCATATAATTTAGGGCCATCTGGAAATGAAAGACTTAAGTAATTTAAGAATTAAGGACCTAACTTGTTCTGTGATGAGTGACAGACTGCATTGGAAATGGAACACTTCTAAAAAGTAGTAGATCTATAAACTGGGCTCCAAGGCTTTGCAGGGGAAAGGGATTTAGTAATGAATATAATTTTTAGTAAATGAGAAATTTTTTTTTTTTCCCCACATTTTTAAGAGAATATACTCTTTGAAGGGAAAAAAAAAAAAGCTTATATAGAAGGGAGATAAAAACATATATGAATTATGTTTCTTAAGCCTTTAAAAGAAGAAATATTCATGACATCAGAGATGTCAAAAGTAATGTCAAAAGTAACTTTTCTGTTTGCATGTTAGAATTGTTTCACTGATGTAGATATAGTAGTAACACATCCTACTTTTTTATGTCTTCTAGAAAGACTCAGGTTTTACAAGTTTCTACAATTTTTCCCTTTCTCATTCCATTTTCAACACCTTTTTTGGTTTTGATAACTTACCCCTGAGCGATCTAGATTTCTCTTTTCAGATTAGGAAAATTTTGAAAATATGAGATCTGTTTTAAGGTGTGTCATATGTGTGAATTATCTGGGATTTATAAGGCTTTGGGGATTATGGAAACAATTGTTAACCCAATGTTAACACAGCACAGCATTTGCCCAACTCAGGGAAAGCCAAATATATCTGCTTTTATAGTCAGCTGATGTGAATTGTAGTAGCTTCACTGATGTAGGGGGTGTAATGGTCTAAAAAGTTAAAATTATCTACTTTATGACAGAATGTGAGGATAATTAATTAGAATGTTAGGATAATGTTAGGATAGTAAAAAAAATGTTCTGAAAGATCATATTTGTACATCATACTAAAGGCTAATTTAGAATTTATTGTGAAAAAGTAAATTGAATTGCCATTATGGCATATCCACATCTTGTTTCAAGTACAGAATCATACTTGAAATATCAGTTTGATTTGCAAGTGCAGGAAAACAAATTCAGAGCCCCACCTTGTTGCTCTGCTGCAGTAGTCTTCGATTATTAGATTAACAGCAATGAACAGAAAAGAAAACAAGATTACTGAAGGAGTTTTCAGTGCAGCAAGCATCTAGAGCAAAATTGCAGGAAAAAAGACCCATGTGTGAAGCACAACGTCAGATTGGTTGTACCTTTCTCTCTCACCCCCTTTAAAGCTGTGCTTTACAGCTCAAACCTGAGCTGAATCCTTAAGTAATGTAAAAGTACACACTAAGAAAGGAGGACCTAGTACTCTACAATGCAGGGGAGTCACCAGCAATGTGATGCTTTTAGATGTTTTTGAGATCAGTTAAATGCACATGAAAGAATGTCTTATGTCATATATATGTAATCTCTCTGGCTACTGAGTAAATTGAAAAGACAGTGTGATTCATAATATAGTAAAAAAAAATACTATATTTGAGTATGTGAATCTCTGATCTTTTGAAACTGAAGTTCCCTGTGTTAGAACTGTGTAAAAGATAGTGGCAATACATTTTTGAAGGTGCTGTTTACTGAAGTGGTTCAGGAGTTAAGCTGTTATTGTCAAATTTCTCTCCTGCCTACTAGCTGATTGTTATTTCATTTTCAAGGTCACGGTAAAGGTAGACAGCTGCGATTCTTCTCAAAGAGTTTTGGCAGGAGATAAATAGCTGCCTGTGATCTTTTATAAGATATTAATAGGTAAGACACTTCTCCACCTGACAGCAAACTGTCAATCAGATCCTGTCAATTTGAGTTGCAAAGAAGAGAATGATGAAGTGCCCTTCCATATCAGTCCTTGATTAGATGGCTCTTCATGAAGGTTAGATCTTTGTGTCAGTTCCATTTAAAAAAAAGAAAAGAAAACCACCAACAACAAAACCCACAAAAACCCCACAAACCAAACCTGAATTATTATCTCTTGAGAATAACATTTACAATGGAGGCTTTAGATACTCTTAGCAATACAGGTATACATTTACAGTAGTACATTATCTCTGTGATCACAGAACAAGGCAGTTGCATGGCAAGTAAATTGTGACTATGCCATTTTAAGTATAAAGTAAACTTCTGTGGCATTTTGCTCCAGACTGTATATTACTCTCAATTCAGTGAACTGTGCTTAAGAAAAAAATCAAAGATAATCCCATGCAGTAAAAAGTTGTAAACTGAGAATCAGCTGCCTTGCAGAAATATTCTTTAGTGAAAGGTCAGTGTTACATTAATGTGCATATTAAACATTAAACTTACTTATATTTATTTTTTACTTGAAGGGCTGCTATTTCCAGTCTTGTAATTGATTCAGAAGTCTCATGTTATTTATTGTTACAGTACTGTAACATGTATGACCTCTCAAATAGCAACGCAACTTCATAGAAAGTGTATATTTTATGAAAAATATTGCCATTTTTCTTTTTTCTTTTTTTTTTTGAATCTGTACTGTATAATAGTGAGAAAATACATGATATGTGCACAAATATTTGAAGGAAATTAATTTTGTTTCCATTTTCCACATGTTTATTCTGTCATTTACATTTATTTTTTTTTAAAGGGAAAATTTATATGAAAAAAAGTCCCAGTCAGAAACATCAAGTGAGTAATCTGGATCAAATTTTCCCATTTTGTGCTTATGTACTGCTATGTACGTAAGTAAAAAAGAAAGTTTTTACCATGCAGCTTGTATAAAAACAGATCCAACCAAGGAGAGAGGAAAAATGGATCATAAATATACTAGATTATATCTACTTATTTTCCTGAAGAATAAACTGTTGATATCAGATTAATACCTTTCATTAAAAGGCTTTGTTTTCAGGTTCTAAAGGTTCAAATATTTTTTCTTTCCTTTTAAAGAAACAGTTTGTGTGTGCATGTCTGTATTGTTCCTTCCCTCTTTAAAGGGTGGATGAATCAACTCTATACGGAAATATATAGTCTCCCTTTGATATTGATGTGAATCACAGGTATTAGCCACCACAGACTGGTGAGAGAAAATATGGTAAATAAACCTCAAAATACTCTGTAATTTACTGTGTGCTTTAACATAAGATCCAGACAAGTTTTCTGGGTAGTGCTTTTGTGATTCAACTGACATTTACAGTATGCATAATGCACTACAAATGCTGTTAGAGCGTATAGCAGTAAATTTGGCTAGTGCCGCACAACTTTAAGCAAAGTTCTATAAATAATGCATAAGTAAAAGTTCCTACTTGAGCTGTGTTTTCACAGCCTGCTGGAATTGATCATAAATATCATGTTGACTGATCACATGAAGAGCAAAATTTACAGAGTTTATTTACTGTACTCTTTTGTTTCAGTTCAGGATATAGACTGAAGACAATGGAGACTTAATACCTGTGAGAGGAAGAATCTTTGTATTAGCATGTACTTTGAGATTACATATTCTTTGGTGCAACATACTTATAGTGTTGCGTACTGTTACTCATTTGAGAATACACAGAGAGAGCACTAAATGACAAGAGATTCGGTCATATACCTTAGTCCAGGATAAAGAAGGGGGAAAAGTACTAGTATTCTTGGTTTAACATAGTTATGATGTTATGGTATGTTTGACCCTGGTCGTCATACAGCCTAGTTATCAACTTCCAACTAGTTATGACTTTGTGAGGAAGGTAATTGTGTTCCTTGTATATATGCATATATAGTTTGGAAGGTATGTTTTTGAACAGCTGTTATGTTTGGGCTTTTAAGTATGTACTTGTGAAATGAAGAAAGATGCTTGCAGCCAGAAAACTATGTTCCTGGTTTTAAACAACTCTTTCAGTATATACAGCGAACAGCAATTAGTTCAGTTTTTTCATTTATTATTGCTTTAATTTCAGTATTCAGCGTGTGTGCCTGTGTGTGTGTGTGTGTGCATGTGTTTGTGTGCGTGTGTGTGTGTGTGTGCGTGTGTTCAGGGTTACCTTGTAATCAGTTACAGTATTACTTTCCATCCTCGTTGTTGTTACTGTTTTGTTGGTTTGATAGAAATTTGTTATAAAATACACTAAGTGTTTGGGGTTTGTTTTGTTTCTTTTTCTTTTCTGTTTTTCAGGAACACTAATGTGCAGTTTCTTCTTGTCTTGTCTTATCTTCATGTTCATACTGCTCTATATGCCTCAAAAAATTTCAGAGGAAAGAGCAAGCATGGTTTATATGGGGATGCAGTGGAGGAAATGGACTGGAGTGTAGGTACGTTACATATCCTTCTAATAGCAGTGGAGGGAATTCATGAAAGACTTATATTCCCCAAATACAGGCTTCTGTGGTTTGGATGTCTACATTATATTTGTGATACTTGTCTTTTATACTTAGACGAAAGAAACAGTTGTTTAAAAGGCACAATAATTTGACCTCTTGTAATATCTGCTTTATGACCAAATTTATTGTGTCCTACAAATGTCTGCTCCTTTGACTATGAATGTAGACTGTATAGTATAGCCTCAGCAGAGATACGCACACCATGAATGTGGACGTTTGAAGCAGAATAGTTAAATCCAACTCCATGAGCTTCTGGGTGCTATTTGTCTTTTACATGTTGTCTTCATAAAGCAATATACTGATTTGAAAAGTGACCACATTATATTGATACTAAAACATTTTCAAATACAGTGACTACAACATGCAGTGTTGCTAAAAGTAATTTGCTAATTATTTTAATGAGTTTTGTGAATTAGTGAAATCACTCAGATGTGGTCCACTTCTGTTCCTGAAGAACAGTCAACACCAAACAATTTGCCCTTTAGAGCCTTCTATTCTCTTTGAGGCTGGAGAGCAGTTGATCATTACATCTTTCAGCAGGCTTTCTGTACAACTAACGGTTCATGCTTGAAAATAGATAGATTGGAGTACAGCAGCATTAGGAGCTAAAGATGATCTTGCATTCCTCCTTCCCATATACCTGAAGTCAATTCCGTTCTCAGTACAACTCAGTGCAAATTGGCTTTCTCCAAGAATATGTTGCTTCCTTATTAAATTGCTATAAACAGATACTTAGTTTTGGTGCATACATATTTTTAAACGATGCAAGCATGTGCATTTAAAACATCATGTAAATTTCTTTGCACATTTTGCCTCAAAAATTCTAGTTGCAGAAGCTAAGGGGCAAAAAGCAGCATAGCACATTTAGTGATTTGTAATGTATTTAGTGCACTATTTGGAAAATGGGGAAAACCCTTGTGATACAGGAGGAAGGGTTTTCATGTGGCAGATAACAGGAAAAGACCCTCTTTTTCTCAATCAGGTTTTGTAAAGAGAGTGGCTTTCATTCCAGTTGTATCACAACTTGAATCATTGTCAGTTTTGTAGTGGCCACCAGCATTTGGTCAACCAAATGCTCACATTAGGTAAATGTATGCATGTGTTGTCATTTCTGTTTGCATCTGCATTGTAGTAAGCTACTGAGCATTAGCTGGTCTTACTGTCTGTGACTGATTTTACTATTTGTTTTTCTGTTCTATGATATTTAGCTTATTCCAACCTAATTGGTCATTTGCTGCTGCCATTATGTTTTCCTCCCTCCTCCAGGAGAGTGGCTCTGGGGCTTAAACAGCAAGTTGGAAACTAGGGCAGTTGACATACTGCTGGTTTTGGCAATTTAAAGATGCAGATGTGGTAACAGATTTAAAAACACTGCTCTCTTCCAGAATGACCACAGGCTCTTAGGAGATGTGTCAAACCAGTTTTTGTAAGACAGAAGCATATTATTAAAAAAGCTTGGGATAAATCAGAGATACAAATTTAATGGTGCTAACAGGAATTTTATACAAACTTGGAGGAGAAAAATGAGTTTCCTCTTGTACTGTCCTTTACAATTCATTACAGGAGCATCAGGGGCAATAGAGCTATCTTAATCAGGAAACAGATCCTCAGCTGTCATTTACTACTATACAGGCGTCAAATCTTATTTCAGTTGGGGGTCTGGTTATGTCAGTTGGTTTTGCTTATGTCTTGTAAGATACCTCTGTTGACACATGGCATACTTGCTCCAGGAGGTAGAAAATGTATTTAGTTCCATTCTTACTCTCTCCTCTGGTATTAAAATGGTGAAAAAAGTTATGGCTGGCATTTCCAAAGAAGTCTGAAGGAATAATATAACTTTTTTTCTAATTCTTTTTTTCATTTGAAGGCAGTGCTTATTTTCGTTAACCTCTACTGAAAATTCCAGTGCATCAGCTATATCAGACAAAGTAGATTTATTCACTGCATTGCTGATGTCAGTAGCCAGTACGTTCTTGGAATGCCTCTGAAGATGTAACAGTAGAAAAGTTAAACAAAATTTTCCAGAAAAGCTAAAAAAGATAAAACTATAAGCTTTCCACAAAGGGAGGTTTTATTATCCACTAGACAGAAATTAGTATTTATGCATAGATGAATGTAACTTGCAAAAGCAATAAAAACAAAGCAGCCCAGATATAACAACATGATGCAAAACCTTATAATAAAAGACAACACAAGCATAAGAAATAAAAGTAAGTGTATGGAAAACTGTGTTATAGCACAGTATCATAAATGTTTGGTAGGAAAGGAAACAAAAACTTTTACTCGGTTCTGAAAGAAGCTTAAAATGTGTTATCCAATGGTTAGAAAATGTAGAATCCCTTGTGGACGACTAAAACAAAAAAAAAAGGTAGAAGTTACAAGTAGAAGTTAATACTGTTAGGTACCAGTGATGAAAAAGTTGTATCGAGATTGGACCATGAAATGCAAATGAAACGTTCCTGATTGACAGGCCTGCTAGAATCAGAAAAGGTACTTTAGTTGCCATTTACAAGAGAAGAAGCAACAGTCTCTCTATTAAGACAGAGAAGTCCACAATGAATGAGAATTCTAAATAAAAACCAATTCTATTTTCATTTGTTTATTTATTGGGAATCAGTTACCAATAATTCAGTTATAAGACAATCCCCATGCTAGGAAGGGAAAAGCCTGAAAGACGCATGAATAAAGTACTGCTTTGAATATTTCGTATTTGTGACTTATTGAATCAATACTGAAGGGTATGATTACAGTCCATGTCAAAAATAAGGAATACAAAGTGTCTGGGTAAGCTTTGGGACCATATATGTCTACTGTGTTTGCATACCAGTGTGTGTATAACAGAATTTAATGTTTAAAGCATTCACAATTATAGTGTCACTGCATGTGACATGCCTTAGAGAGTTATTCGCTGGCTAATAACATTAATTTTCTTTCAATGCAGGCTGAGCACCTTATTAATTCTATTAATTATAATTCATATGAGAGCAGATAAAATAATTCTACAGTCCAAAAATGGGAAAAAAAAGATGAATGTATTAATTAATTCAATATTACAATTTTCTTCCTTTGCTTCATTCCTTCTTTCATTCCTAATTGAGTATAGGAAGAGAAATGAATATGTCCAGAAATTGTTTTTGATGTGAATAGCATTACACTACTACAAAAAATATCACTACAAAGAGTTTTGGAGCCCCCTGTAGACTTGCACACAAGCTGTGTGAAGACACATTTACTCAACATCACTTTGCAAACGGTTGTTTATTGTTCTGCTAACAGAAAAGGTTCATACCACTTCTTAGTCCTTTGCAGAACAATCATAACTGAATGGTTTAAGTGTAAAAAAGTCTCACAAATGGTAGTCTGGCATATCCTTGTCTGGATATCTTTATTACATAGATGCCTTGCAAGCTTCAAAATCTTAACTGTCTCTCTGCAATGATCTTCTGACCTGTCTTAAGATCAAGTTATGCTAAGAAAATATTACCATCATCTGATGTTAGTAAATTAGAAGAAAAGGAGCAAAAATAATCCCAATGCATCTTGCTTGTAACTGGTGTTTGTAATGTTTTGAAAAGTTTGGTAGAGTTTTATATGAAGAGAGTAGTTCTGTATCTCCCCAGTAGAAGATGTATATGGAGCTAGTGATCAGTGTCCAGCAAAGGGTCACGAAGATGATTAAGGGGCTGAAGCATCTCTTCTATGAGGAAAAGATGAGACAGCTGGGACTAGAGATCTGTTCATCCCAGAGAAGAGAAAGCTGGGGTAAGATCTTATTAATGTGTATGAATACTTGAAGGGAGGATGCAGAGAATATGGGACCAGGCTCTTCTTGTTGGTGCCAAACGGAAACACAGGAGGTTCCCTTACTCTGAGAGTGACCAGTCACTGGCACAGGTTGCCCAGAGTGGTGGTGGTGTCCCCCTTCTTGCAGATATTCAGAAGCCATATGGGCATGGTCCTGGACTCTAAGTGGCCCTGCTTGAGAAGGTTATGTTGGAAAAAGTCTCATCCAGAGGTCCCTTCCAACCTCAACCATTCCATGATCCTTTGAGATGCTAGAGAAAAGAAAAAAGCTATTCACTGAAGTAAATTCATACTTTGAAAGAAAATCAGACATAGCTATTAGAAGTCAGTCCAGAGTAACCAAGGAACTCTTCACTGAAGCAAACAGAAGCAAGATACTCTCATGATACTCTTGTCCTCTACTCCACTCTGGTGAGACCCCACAGGTAATACTGCATCCCGCTCTGAGGTCCCCAGCAGAAGAAAGACATTCATTTGTTTGAGCAGATCCAGAGGTGGGCCACGAAAACTATCAGAGGGATGGAACAATTCTGCTTCAGGGACACCTTATTTCTGCCTTTAAGTATAGGGAGGGGTCTTATAAGAAAGGTGTAGAGACTTGTTACCAAGGTCTGTGTTGACAGGACAAGGGGCAACAGTTTTCAACAGCAAGAGAATAGTTTTGGATTAGGAAGAATTCATCTACAGTGAGAGTGGTGGGACCCTGGAGCAGGTTGCCCAGAGACGTTGTGGATGCCCCATCCCTGGAAGTGTCCAAGGTCAGACTGGATGGGGCTTTGAGCAGCCTGGCCTACTGACAGATGTACCTTCCATGGCAGGGCAGTTGGACTAGATGATTTTTAAAGGTCCCTTCCAACCCAAACCATGCTGTGATTCTGTGTTACTATAGTGGTGACATTTTGAGAATACCAGTGATACCTTAAAAAGGTTTTACTTACAAGGAAATGCAGTACCTTACTTCTTTAAGCTGAAAATATTTACATAATTAAGATCTTTGGTATCTCAATAAATTTAACCTTACCTGAGGAACATTTATGACTTTTCAAAGCATTTGTGGTGGTCTGCTGTAGAACTGTCTGGGTTGATGTGTGTCCTATAGTGAAATACAGCAAGGCAGAACTAAAGCG